TGCCCAGGACCCAGGCAGAAGCCTGGCGGGGCGGGGCCTCGGGCACGCGCCCGCGCGTCCAGCAGGTGGCGGCAGCGAGCGGCCGCGTCCCCCGCGCTGCCACCCCGCCAGCCCGCGTCATGGATGTCCCGCTCTCCTATTTCGCTCTGCTCGCCCTGCAATTCCAGACCCCAGACGAGGACCAGGATTCATGAATCGCTCGCAGGGGCCGGGCCAGGGGCCTCTGGCTCCCGACGCTGGCCGAGAGGTGGGTCCCTGTTCCCCGAGGCCGGGCGGGGACGCGCTGCCCCCGCCCTGCCTCCCCGTGGTCCACACCCCCTTTAGAGGCCGGGCGGGGACGCGCTGCCCCCGCCCTTCCTCCCCGTGGTCCACACCCCCTTTGGGCTCCGGAGCCGCTGGGCTGGAATAGTCGCCGTGCGCGCGAGCAGGCGCCGCCAGCCCCGCAGCTGCCCGGGATCCGGGTCCCAGGAGCAGGAGACCATGGGCGCCCGTGTCTTCCCCGCCTCCTCGTGCTCCTCCTCGCTCTCACCTGCGCCTATTAGTCCACTCGCCTTCAAGGCGGTGGTGACAGCCCAGACGGAGAGGGGACAGCAGAGGGACAGAGAGCACCTGAGGATACGGAGCTGGCACTGCACTGCCTTTTCACCCCCAGGTGATGAGTGAGGTCGGAAGGAGATTTACAGAACAACCAGGGCCTCCGTATTGAATGAAAGACCCAGTGCGAAGACATCACCATGAACACGAGCAGTAAGTGGATCCTCCTCTCCTTTGCCATGGGAACAGGGGTGGGGGCGGGAGGTGCAGGAGCCTGCGCTGGGGCTGCCTGGAGTGAGGAAGGAAGCCTGGCACTGCGTGGACACATGACCCCCAGACTCCTTTTTGGTGTTTTCTGTGCTCCCCAACACAGGGATAGCTTCAGGGTCTGGCTTTCCATGATAATTTGGCTAATATTTTAGCGGCGCCAGTTGCCTCTGCTGGGAAGGCTGCTTGTCTCCTTCTAGCCATGCCTGGGAAGGCCTAGGAAGCAGTGTGTGTCCATTGTCTGACTGTGGGGGCTCTGAGGAGACCTCCCTGTGCACATCTGGAAAACCATGGAGCGTCTTGCTCGTCCTGGAGCTGGGAAGGGAGGCTGGCCTGCGGGCGGGAGGGTGAGTGGGTGTGGACAGGCAGTGGGATGGGAAACAGCAGTTTAATAAACAAATATCAGGAAACCACCTTTGGGTCTGGAGATTGCGAAATGTCCAGCTCCTGTGCCTCTTTGCCGGGTGAGCCCAAGGCTGATTTCTCCACATACCTACAGGCTGGTTAGCCATTCCAGAGAGTAAGAGAAAAGGGGCAAGCCCTTTGGGGACAGTTCTCACATGCCAGAGGCAATAACTGCTTTGCAGAGCCAGGACCACACATTTTGCTGCCAGCTTGGGCCTCAGCTACTGAGAAATGCATACAGCAATACAAGGAAGCACAGTCTGTTTCTCTTCAGTATAGTTCTGTCGACCACGGCACCAACTAGGTGCCGTGGCGTGGGCAATGCCCCAGGAGGCCACTTATGGGTTCAAGTCTCACTCTCCCGTGCTCTCATCAGTTTAGCTTCTCTAGGTCATTCCAGCATCAGATTGAGGTTGTTGAGCCAGAGGACCCCTACCAACACTCATTTCCCTGGGTCTATGACTTTGTTATCAGTCCTCTCTCTGCATTTCAGATTGATCATCTATAAGATGACAGGGCTTGAATTAGAAACCCTTCTAATCTACAAATCCATAAGGTTTTTTTCCAAAAATGCAAGAACTGAGGAGCAAGGCCAAAAAATCAGTACCTTACTGAGGCTGTGTCCAGCCAAACTCTACTATTTCCTCATCCTCCCTCTATTTCAAGGCCGTTGGCATAGAGAAGAGGAAAACAAAGCAAAAGCCACTGAGATGGAAATGAAATATATTTATTTACTATGTATTTGTATGACTCATCTCTCTGCTGTCTTCCTTTGTGTATTACATATCTATGCTAAGCAAGCGTGTGGCTGGACTCCCTCTGCCTCTTACAGCCAAAGAAATTTGCCTCTTGATTGTGACAGTCTGGAATGGTGTTGTGACATCCTACCAGGCTCAGGAAAAGAGCTAAATCCTGTAGACCCTATCACATAGTGGGCCACACCGTTTGCATCTGCATGTTTTCAGACAAATAAAGATGTGAATTGCCTGTCATTTTTCACTATCTCTAGGGAAAATATGTATTTATGGGAGTCCTTTCCTAAGTGACAGAAGAGAAAGATGGCTCATCTATTTTTCAAGCAACTAAGAAAGGAAACAAGCAACTAAATCAGCTCTTTTCTCTCTCTGGAATCCTAAGGAACTCTTGTTCTGTTAGCAACACTGAGTATTCCTGAAAGAAAGGAATAGATTTTCCTTTTTTTTTTTTTAGGAAATAACAACCAATAGAGGTAAACGCTGCAGAAAATGAGGACTGACAAAAATGCCATTCCAGCCTCATATGCTTTTTCTAAGTATGGAGAGTGTGTTTATTTCTCAGGAATAGTGGAATATAAACAGAATAGAATGGCTCGAGCCCCTGAGTTACCCATAAGAGGAAGTGCTTCTCTAAACAGGGACGTGGGGGACACTCAGGCTCAGAGCTTGGGAGCTGGACTCGATCATCATCAAGGTTTCTCCCAACCCTGAAAGTCTGCAAATGGAGAAAGTTGAAATCAGGCCTCACAGGAGAGAAGGAGCGATGGGGTCATAAGTTAATAGGGGCAGGATGTTGGCGGGAGGTCATTGTGTGACCCGATCTAAGCAAAGATGCTCTCCTTTAAGGTGTGAAATTCTTACCTGAATCCTCATGCCTGAAATCGTCCCCAATAGAAACTCTTACTTAGTTTTACTTTCACCTCCGTTTATTGGGTCCCCACTCCCCACCAGCCCCTGTGCTAAGCACTTGCCCTGCTTGGTCTCATCAGACTTTCCCATCCAAGCTGTGCAAAGGGTGCTTGTAGCTAATGTTTAGAAACTTTAAGTCATGCAGTTAATTGTTGGATTAGGAAAGGTACTTAGACGTGTAATATATTTGACAGTGAGTACAACTCCTCATCAGTGGTTCAAATGTCATCACAGAAGTGGGAGGAAGGCATGGGCTAATTATTAAGTTCCAAATCACTTCACCTGGAGAAGAGGAGCACAGGGCTGTGGGCTCTGGGCAGCAATCAGGTTGAGAGAGCTCAGGCACTGGAATTGGAGGGTCCTGTGTTCCAGTCCTCTTTTTTTCACTTGTTAGCTGTGTGGTCTTCAGCATGGCCATCTCATCTGCAAAAACAGGAATGATGAGACCTACCTCAGCTTGGAATGGAGATGAAATGTTAATGTTTCTTGTAAAATAGGAAGTGTGGTACCTTAGCTGTGGACATAGCTGGCATCATATCAGTGGTGGAGGTGGTCATGCTGTCACTATCACTGCGGTGGTCATTGTGTCTGTTGTCATTGTGGACTCTATGACATTAGCAAGCAGGTCACTCAACCTCTAAGATGTTACATCTTCATCATGAATTGAGAAGTGTACCTGAAGTGAGATTTTTGAGGATTATTCAATGGGATTATGAGGAAATGCTTTGTAATCATACGTAAATTGTTTTTTATTAAAAAGAAACCCATTTCTCAGATGACAAAAACAGGAGAGTGCTCAATCGGTGACTCCTAAGTGTGAATTTTAGTTTCATCTGAATCCTTTCTTCTGAAATCTAATGTGCTTCTAAGCATTAGCACACCGAAGGCAGGAACTGGAGAGAAAAGGGTGCTTTTGGAGATGACAGAGTGGGGTGGTGGGCAGACCTGGGTGGAATGCAGCAGGTGGGGTCCAGCCCTCGGAGCCAATGAGTGGGGAAAAGGAGGGTACTTTGAGGAGAGAACAGGACACCGAAGGCATGAGCAGGACACCCGAGGCTCAGGAAACCCAGCTAATACTGAGTCAGCACACTCTCCTGGGTGAAGGACTTCAGAGGAAAGGAAGGGAAACAGGCCAATCATGGCCACTTTGGCTTCTGTGGGGTGGCTCCACCATCTAGCTTTTCTTACCCCCTGCACACTCCCAACCTACTCCAGGGATCTGTCATGTGTCTCCTAACCTACTGAGGCAGCCCCTAATGGTCACTCTTCATCCACTCCAGCCCCACCAGTCATTCTTCCACATCCACCCTCTGTGTCACACTCTGCTTTAAACACAGATTCCATCAGTGCTAGGATGAGAGTGGAAACTCTTCAGCAAGGCCCGTAGGGCCCCTGTGGCCTGGCCCTGGCCCTGCTCACCAGCTCCATGTGGTCTACTCTGCACCTTTCACCATGTCCATCACATCCCCCTCCTTCCACCCCTCTAAGGGCTTGCTCCTGCTGACTTTGCTCCTTCCTCCTGCAAAGCCCCCTCCCCATGAGCACCAGCCCCTCTGCCCACCCCCATTCTTCATCCAGACTGGCTTCCTCACCCTTCAGAGCTGCAGAAGTCCTCTCCAGTCCCCAAGTCTAGCTAATGTGCACTCCCAGTGCACCTTGGCCCTGTTCCTCCAGAGTCCAGTCCCTGTCATGACACAGTGGCCAATGTGACCCTTGCACTGAAGCCCATCTCCACCAGACAGCAAACTCTGTAAGAGCTGTGATGTGTAGCCGCTAGCAAAGATACATTCTGGGGTGTTTCTTCATTCTTGTTTGTACATTGGTCATTTTCCTAAACCCTCAGAGCAAGGAAGGAGCTGAACCCAGACTGTTTGCTCTCCCATAGTCCTAGAACCATGGGGTACCACTCATCTAATGTGCATATTCTTAAGCAAATAAATCTTTGGTTACTCCCTGTCAGGGTATCCAGTTCTTATGTTGGCCCCAGGAGTTCCAAAGCCAAGGGAGACTGAGTTGACCCCCATGTGCCAAAGGCCCTGAGCACCAGAGTAGATTCTGTGTCCCATAAAACTCCATGTTCCTCACTTGGATCAGAACTCCCGGAGCTCATGAAAGCTGTGGCTTTCCTATGTGCAAAACCCAGGTCTGGCACATCCTCAAGGCCAGGTGAGCATCACGTCCACCATGAGCAATGGTACCATCGACCAGTCACCCTCATTCCATAGCCTTCCCCTACCCTCTGGCCCCTCTGTTGGTCTTTATCATGGATTGGCATGCTAACAAATTACCTTTCTGGAGCAGACTTTGTTTCATTGAAGAGAGTATTGAGGTGTCATATAACCCCCACAAAGATGTCATGGAATAAGCAGATCCCATACTGTGGCAGTAAGAACCAAATCTTTGGGGTATGGATTCCAGAGTTTGAACTCAAGCTCTATCGTGTACTCTGTGTGATCTCGGACAGAACAGATCACATCTCTAAGTCTGAATTTTGTTATGTATGAAATATGAGCAATAAAATGCCAGTGTGCATTTCATTGCACACTGTGAAATAAAAGTAAACATTTTTGTGAAAATTAAGTGAAATAACATAAGATACTTGCTGGGTCTCAGTGAAAGGAGTTGAATTGGCCATTGAGTAAAAGAAAGTTCTGGAATAATGGTATAAAAAACAAACCCGCCAATTAAAAATTAGTCTGTTTTGCTGGTATTGCAGCCAATTCTGGGTTTTGTACTTAGGAAACCTATGCCTTTCTGGAAGCCTTCAGGAAGGTCATTAACGTGGTATTGTATATGGTGTGGGTTGAAAAGAGCAAGACAAGAAGTTAGGATCCTAAGTGAGAGACAATTGCTCTAGTTCAGAAAAGTCTGAGGGCC